TGCTTCCTCCTGGGCAGTAGGCCTCTATCCACAGTGTTGTTACATGGTGGTGGATGTCATCCACATAGAACAAAATATGAAAGGTGTCACTTGGAGTCATGTAGCACATGGCCCTGCTTCCATAGGTGATCTAAGCTGGGACTTTTTTTGTTATATTTCATCAATCCACATGCCTTATGTCTTCCAGAAATGTGCTGAAAACTTTTGGTCTTTGATGCCCCCTCACATTTATTTTATCATTACCATTATGGGACTATTTCTCCCACCCCTCACTTTTTAAAACGTAAATTCTATTTGCTTCCTCTTAACAGGGTCTCAGGAGGAAGAGGAGATTAATGTGTGGGCTGTTTGTCAGCTTGAACCTAAAACTCAGAGCTCATACTGTTAATGGGGATGCTATTCTGCCTCATTATGTTTGGCATAGTTATGGATGATTCAGATATCAATGTTAAAAACAGCAGTGACTTTATGGTAGAGCCTCAGTTAGACAGTTTTGCTGCACCATGGACCAAATAAACTGGAAATCTGAAATATTTCCACCTATTTTATGTCAAATAAATAGCAACTAAGGTGAAAAATATAGAAACACATGAACTTTTAAACTACATTCATTTCTTAAATATCCCAGGTGGTTGCTTTTCACAAAAGCATTAGGAGGGAGAGTTTTACAACAATAGAATTCCCAATTCAGTTGATTACCTACACTCAGAGATGTAACACCTTCATGGGAACCCTGCCAAAGGCCCATTGGCTTATGTAAAATGAAAAATAACTTTCTCACTATGTGTTCGATGACAATGATTATATGCCAAATTATCTTACTATCTTACAGCCAGGTGGACATATATCATATGAACTTTATTGTTCTGGACTTTGTAACAAAGTTCTAAGGTGTTCCCTTCTAAATATTCTGGCAATGCAAAATTGTTTCTCTTTCAAATGTTTTATGTAAACACATATATATGGATTTAAGAACAAGTATTCAAAATTGATCAAATTTGGTCTTCAAATTCATGTAGGTTACAAAAAAAAAAAAAAAAAAGAGTTTTGTTTAGCTTTTTTTTTAAAAAATACCCCTTAGAGTAAGTGTGTATTTAACTAGTACTTATTGAGGGCCTGATATATTTCTGCTACTTCTGCAAAAAGTTCGTGAGCTCTATCTATGTTGTTACCCTCATTGGCTGACATCCATGTTTAGAAAGGGGAAGTGCCTTAAAATCAACAGCAAATGACCATTCTGAAAGGGATCACAATAGGAGGACTCATATTGAATGGCAGAAAACTTGTGGAACAAAACTCAAAATCATAAAAATGACCAGGTTTACTGGTCTGTTAGCTACTGGTGGAACCCCTGAAATGTCCTTCAAGCCTAGAACTCAGCTCATCCCCATAACTCAACTTTCACCCAAACAACAGTCAGGCCATAAGGTGAACAATAATAGCAGGGAGGTAAGCATTCCTTAGATCAACCATATAAGATGAAAAGGGCAGCAATTGCCCAGGGATAAAATTAAGAAGGCAGGCAAAGGGAGATGGTAAACTAAACACACGGAAGAAGTGGGAAGAGTATGTTGCAATGAATGTCACAAAACTAAATATGCATGAACTATTGAACAGAAAACCAATTTCCCCTGGAAACCAAATCTCACATACACACATAAAACGATCAATAGCAAAGGATGACAGAGATCAGGATTCAACACCAGTTTCTTGATTTTACAGTTAGTTTTATTCTACTATCTCAGGGAACAGAATTCTTTTATACTGCTTTAAATATTGGATACAAAGCACACAGATTTGTAACAGTTGGGACAACAGAACACCATAAAAATGAAAATACTGAAGTCAGGAAAAAGCCTCTATATTTTTGGCTTCATCTTATCAGAGACTCGAATTGGTGATTAAGTTTATCACTGAGTTTATTTCACTCAAGTGGAAAACTCAGTGCAAAATGCTTATTAGCAAAATGTTAATAAGGTTTTGTTAATAAGAAGAGAGAATAGCTTTAGAATGAAATGTCATTAATTAGCATAGCCAGAGGAAGTCTTCTTTTTGTTAATAACCAAAATGTAGAACAATTGCTACCCTGGGCTGTGAGAATGGAGGTATTCTTAAGGAACAAAGAAGGTGAAGTACAGACAAGTGGTAAGATCAATCTTTACACCATCATCATTTCTGCAAATAACACTCTGTGCCATATAGCATACAGGTGGACCTCCAGAACCATTCAAAATAGTAAAATACTGATTCTATTCAGTGACTTCTAGGACTAGAGTCAGCTCCATTTCTTTATCTTTTTGTTATTGTTTAGGCTAGGAATCTCTTCACTATGTCTAACTTGGTCTGAATGTGGTTTATGAATGGTGTAACCAGTGCTTTTTCTATCACATTATGTCTTTTTATACTACATCATAAGGGTTAGAGTTGTTGAGGAGTGTCAGACTTGATTTCAAATCCAAGCTGTGCTACTTCCTATGTAACTGTCGTTGGGAAAATTACTTAACCTCTCTGAGAATCAGTGTTTAGAGAACAAAAACAAAAAAAAAAAACCCTATCTCATAACTATTTTAGAAATAAAATCAAATATGATTTTATCTACAAGATAGATAGATAGATTGAAGATAGAAATAGCCTCCCAACTAATACACACAGTAAATGTTTGAGTATTTTCCTTCCCTTTGAGAAAATGTCCATGAATTTATCCTAACAAGTTGCACATTTTGAATATACGGTCTCAGTAAGCACCTGATAAAACCCTACTAAACTCACTGCTATTGAGTCAGTTCAGACTCATAGCAATCCCCTTTGGGTTTCTGAGCTGATAAATCTTTACAAAAGTAGCTTGCACACTCTTCTTCTTCAGAGTGCCTGGGGGGTTTGACGGTTTGCAGTTAATCCATATGTTTGCAACTATTTCTTCCCATTTTGAGTCACGTATACACACACACACAACTTTAATTCCTGAAAAACTGTTCTAAGGTAGATACCATTAGCATCCCCATTTTACAGATGAGCAATTGTAGCTAGTAAAAGCATAAACCAGTGCCTGAACCTGGATTTAAACTAAGGGAGTCTGGGTAGGGTCCATGCTTGACAGCTTACAAAGTTTCATACAACAAGATGCTATACGGTATTGACTGACAACTTTTTCTGTCTTTTAATATATAGAGCAGATATTACAATGGAGTTAGTACACTACTGAGAAAAAAGCTTCTTAATTCTCCAGAGCTGAATTAATAGTTAGACCATCCACTTTTCTTCTTCTTCTTCATTTTTTTAACTAAAGAGACAAATGTAATCTGATGATCTTTACCATCAACGGCAGAAGAGTATGACAGGAGAAGAAGAGGTATTGTCTTGGGGGGAGATTTGCAGGTCACAGTCCTTTCATTCACCTCTCCACGAGTTTGGGGACATTTGGTGGGTTTCATTCATCAAGGGCAAAAAAGGGACATTAAAAAAAAAAGTGCTTGTAAAGGCTGTGATGTTCCAGAAAAGAAAGACTAACATCTCCTTACATGGTGGTGTCATTTAGCTGTGGACTTTGCTGACCTGCCTCATTGCTACTGAGTTGGAAAAGAACCATAGGGCGAAAAGATGAGGAGGTCAGCCAATGAGCAAGAAGGCAAGGACTGTCCCCTGGTAAGTTCCACCTGACAGGTAGATAAGATAGATGTTACTCATGTCTGCAGTCTTCACATTTGGGGCTATTTGGGACAGATGATGAGAATGGAGGGCTATGAGCTTGTGAGAAGTTGCTTCAGCTCGCACCAAGCCGTAAGTGCATCAAAAGACTGTGAGGCAAAACTGCTAGGGGTTTTCTGGAAGAGACAGCTGAGTTTCTCAAGAGATGACTCAGGTAGAGGAAGTTGCTTGGGCTTGAGACTTGTGTCACTGGTACATGTTTGGTTTGCTACCATCCAGGCCACATTAGCAGAGATAACCAACAGAAAGGGCACAGCCACAGAATCGTGAGGAAATGCCACTTCCTTCTTTTTGCTTTTTGCCCCAACACTGGCTGAGAATACTAAGGGAAACAGTTATCTAGAGGGTGGTATGAGAGAAATCATACCACACCACTATCAACATCAGGTCTCTGTGGTGGAACTGTAAGTCTCAACTATGTTGGAAGGATGAATGGAGATCTGATTCAAACATGAGCCTCACATTTTAAAACAAAGAAGACTAGTAAATAATAAAGTTAGAGATTTGAATTGAAACATCATTAAGGTAGCCTACCCACCCTTGGGAAATAAGCTTGAAGAAAGTACAGTTGGTAAAAGACATTGAAAAAAATGATCTCATTTTTATACATTAATTAATCAAATGATCTCAATTAACCAGTTGCAAGTATAAGCCAAAAGGAGAGACATATTAGCCACCCCTTCCAATTAAATGACTGGAAAATACAAAAGTCTTCTACTTGTAAGTCTGCTCAGCCAACTTCTCCACTCTCATATCCTGCCTCACTGACTCACACAGCCTATGCCACAGTACTGAATCACTCCATGGCCTTCTGACACTCCATGTTTGCTCATGTGCTCATGGCTATACACATGTTATTTCTCTGTTTAGAGTGGCTTTTCTTCCAATGCCTACTACACAATACTCATAGATGTTTCAGGTCTCAGCTTGTGAGTTTCATCCTCTGTGAAAGCATCCTCATGTGCTTTCTCCTCCCCCTTGTTGCCACATCTGAGCCAGATGCCCATCTTGGATATGCCACTAATTGTTTTTACATATCTCCTGTATAATTCTTATACTGCATTGTAAGTATGGCTTGTATTTCTGCCACTCTCACTGGAAAGTAAACCTTCTGAAGAGAAAAGAGGAGATCATACTTGACTTTTTAAATCCAGTACATAGGACAGTGCTCGGTACATAATGAGCTTCATAGATATATGTTTATTGAAAGAAGCAAAGAAAGATTTCTTCATGCTCAAAGTGCTGAGGTTGCACAATTAGTTGTAAGAGGACATGCTTGTGTATTCTTTTCTTACCCTTCCAAAGAGATGGCCCGTTGGAGAGTCACTGAAGGCTGGCGCGTTGCAGTGCTGTGTTGAGAATGACTGTAAGGAAAGAAAAGACAAATGTGGACATTTATTTATAATATTCTTGCACATTCTAATCAGTCTGGAAAGAAGTACAGTAGAGATTAAATCACTATTCTTTGGTTGTAAGTAGAATCATCCACCAAAACAGCACTCTACCAGGTAAAGGATTAATGTTTCCTTACAGTTTGATTTCAGTGTGTATTATTCCAAAGTAAGCTTTAAATGGCAGGTATCTGCCAGGTACAAGGGAAGAAACAAAAATATTTGGAAAAGATAATATTTTCTTCCCTGGAATAAGACCCTGCAAAGCATCAGAACATAAATTTAATTATGATGCAATGCATTAAAAATTTTAAGCTGTGGAACATTTCTTCCTAATAAAATTTTGTACAAAGCCTAAATTTCAAATCAAAAACCAGAAAACCAAACTCAGTGCCACTGAATTGCTTCCGACTCATAGCTACCTCTCCTTGGGTTTCTGAGGTGGTATCTCTATGGAAGTAGATTGTCCAGTCTTCCTCCCAAGGAGTGCCTGGTGGGTTTGAACCACCAGCCTTCTGGTTAGCAGTCAAAATGCCTTAGGCACAATATCACCAGAGCTCCTATTTAATTAATATAAATTTATTTATAACTTTAAATTTGCAACATTTAATTATAAAATTAATCAATAAGTATAAATTAGTTTTTTGATGAACATAAAAACTTGAAAATGGGATTAAAGTCACAGTTATGTATCAACATTAGAATTCAGTATATTTCCATAGTTTGTTTTGGTTGCATGGCAACAAGAAAACAACGAGTTTATAGATAATAATCATTTATCAAGTACTTATATTGCACCAGTCATTTTTCTAACTATTTCATATCTTTTATTTCTCACAACCTTATTGTGGTGTAGTAAATTAGTGTGGCTTTTCTACCCATAAGTCTTTGTAAACTCTGTGGTGGAATTTGCCATGAGGAACTGAGGACCTCCTGATTGTATAAGTTATCCACCTGCGGTATTTCTGTTGGGTGCAACACAAAGCAATGTTCTGGGAGGTTCCTCTTCCTCTCAAGTGCTTAGAATTCTGATGGTATGATTGGTTAGTTTGGCCACTCTGCCAGGCTCAAAAGGAGGCCTCCTAGAGGCAGAAGAAGTCTCTCTCTCTCTGCTGGTTGAGGAAGATGTGCTGCTGAAAGAGACACACGCTCCTGAAAGAGACACATGTTGCTGGGAAAGAGATGTGTGCTTCTGGGAAAGAGACACAAGAGACACGCATTGCTGAGTGAGACACCGAGGGACAGTTGTTGGGAGAAAGACTGTGAGAGATTGTTAGGAGAGAGACTGTGGGCTGGGAGAGCAACTGAGCGTTCCTCCCGAACTTGAATTGTAGCCTGGTGCTTCCCTAATAAACCCCATAATCTGTGAGTTCTGTGTGGCCACTGCAGTGAATTATCGAACTCAGGAGAGAGGTGGTGGTGCATTGAGAAGAACAGTTGGTGAAAGGGCTGGAGGGAGGCAGCATGTCTGGCCTTGCAGGAATAGGCCTTGGACTATTGATGGTGATTCTGTCCTCCTCTTGTGGGGTTAGAGGAGGTCAGAAGATGTGGCCTCCTTTCTTGTTTCAACAAAAAACAATGAGTTTATAGATAAGTAGCTATAATAAAATCATTTTATCAAGTACTTATATTGCGCCAGTCATTTTTCTAACTATTTCATATCTTTTATTTCTCACAACCTTATGAAGTACATATTGTCACTAATCCCATTTCACAGATTAGGAGATTGAGATACAGAGTTTAGAAACTTGCCCAAATTCATATGGTGAATATCTGTGCTTGAAATGGTATTCAGCCAGGCTGATTATACAACCATTGTCCTTAACCATCATGGTATACTGCCTACCAAATCGTAACAATTTTTCAGATTTCTAATAATTCATCTTGCAATCTCAGAATATTCTTTTTTTGTTTGTTTGTTTCAGCAGAATTTTTCCATGATCAGTTCATTGCTTTGGATTCTTTTTTGTTAATTGTGATTTTGGTGCAATCTCAGAACATTCTTCAATGATGCTGCCAAAGAAATGGCAGGAGAAGGTTTTATCTGAGACAGTCACAGTAACAATCCAACAGCAAAATTTAATGTATTGTGGCTTTTTATGTGCTAGTTGTGTAGGATACAGGTGTTAAATGTCAGATATAATGTATTAAAATGTGTAACCAATTTTAGGCATAATATTAATTACATAGGCATGTGGCAGGTACATGTGAATGTATATATCAAAATACACGTATAAAAAGAAACCTGAGTTAGGAGCCTTCACAAAGCTCTGAGATTTCCCAGTACAAACTGAAAACACTGACATTGGCACAGAAAGCCAAGCTGTGGGCTTCACAGGTTTTTGTTAAGGGGATCTCTCTCTGTAATACCATTTGTCTGAGGTTGAGGGAAGAGTTTAGAAGATGTAGCTAAGGCTGAGAAAATGATCTTCTTAAAGCTAAGGACTGTCCTCCGCTTCATGTATATCTCACAATGCCAAGAACCACACGTTTCAATTTATATGTTTTGACCACCCACTGAGAAGCAGCATAGTGTTTAGGAACTTGGACCATGTAAACCAGACTGCCTGAGTTTAACTCCTGGCTCTACCACATTTATCTATGTGACCTTGTAGAAGGTAGTTAAACCTCTCTGTGTGCCAGTTTCTCAGTCACACAATCAAGACAGAGATATGATTTTTCAACAGGGTTGTTATAAGGATTCAATGAAGTATTTAGCACATGGTAAAAGCCCCACAGTGTTTCCAAGCCTGTACATCTTTCTGGAAGCAGACTGCCTCATCTTTTTTCCATGGAGTGATTGATGGGCTCAAACTGCCAACCTTTTGGTTAGTAGCCAAATGTTTTAACCCCTGCACCACCAGAGTGCCTTTTAAATATATATAAATACTCATATATAAACATATCTAGATATGTATATGTACTAGTATATGTATGTAAACTAGTACATATACATAGCTATGTGTATAAAAACCAAACTCACTGCTCTTGGGTCAAATCCGACTCACAGCTAACCCCCTGCTTGGGTTTCTGACGTGGTATCTCTGTGGAAGTAGATGGCCCAATCTTCCTTCCGAGGAATGGCTGGTGCATTATATATATATATATATATATATAAGGCACATGACTGCTAACCAGAAGGCTGGTGGTTCAAACCCACCAGCCAGCCACTCCTTGAAAGGAAGGTTAGGCAATCTACTTCCATTGTGATTCTGCCTTGGAAACCCAAGGAGGAGTTGCTATGAGTCTAGTTCCACTTGATGGCACATAACAACAACAACAACACACACACACACACACTAGTTTCACCACAGCCTTATGAACACTGATGTTACAGTTTTTAAAAATACTTGATAAATTTAATAGGTGCAGACTTATAATGAACACTTCTTTATTCATGAGGATAAAATTTTTTCTACGTACTTATTTGCTAATCGTATTTCTTTTGTGCAAACTGTCTTATCATTTCCTTTGCCATTTATTTTCCACTGGTTTTGAAAATAACAACAATTCTTCTTGGGTAAGGATCAGTGATGCTAACTACAGTACTTTTATGCAACTAATCTGTCTTTGTTTGCCAACTGCTCCTTCCCCTGGAAGGTATTTTTATAAACTCACTATGCTAATGATTTTTACAGCAACATGTGAAAAAAAAAAATTAAAGAAAGTATCATAGTGGAGCTTATGAAAATACCTACCAGGGGAGAGGCAGCAGTTAGCAAACAAACTCCAAAGGTGTGCTTGTTATTTGCGTCAAAATGCATGTAACCAAGATTAATGAGTAACTGGAATCCTTAACAGCTTCCTCACCATTAGCCCAGACCACATAATTAAAATAAAGAAATATTCAGTAACTGAGTTTTATTTACCACTACCTTGTAACTAATTGGTTTATTATTCTACCCTAAACTATTTCAAAAATATCCTTTTTAAAGTTTTGTTGTTTTTTAAAGTTTAGTCACACTTAAATTCAATGAAAAAGGAATTATCAAGTACACAGAGAATTTGAATCCTTTAACATTACATATGCAGTCAGCCAGCTTCTCCTAGTGTGTAAATATGGAATAGTCTTTTACAACATGTAATAACCCTTTTACTCTACTAAGACAAATACACTGAGTTATCTGACAGTCAAGAACTGTAGATACAAGGGCATTTTTGTTATTCACAGGCAGTAATACCTGACCAATATTTGCAGTGGGTGCTAGCTTACCTGATAGCCATAATAACTAGTATTTTAAAAACACCAAACATTTTCCCTTGGGCTCTAGAAGTTTGTTCTATCCTTTCCATATCACAGACCACATATAGACAGCATGTTAACCTTGCCAACATGATTAAGAAATTACAGGTTCAGACAATGGAACTAGGGCTGAGAAAATGATCTTTTTAAACCTAAGGATTGTGTCCTCTATTTCACGTATACCTCACAGTCCCAAGCACCACAAAGGTTTCAAGTTAGATGTTTTGATCAACCAACTGAGAAGCAGCATAGTCTTTACAGCCTGGCCTCTTTTACCTCCTCAGGCAGAGGCCAGCCAGATAGATGGAATTCTGAGAGCTGCAATGAAAAGAACCAAGGGAGGAAAGCACAGCTAAAATGTAAACCTTCCAGTAAAACAGAACAAAGTTCTTGGAATGTTCTTTGTTCTGAAAAAACGCTACCGCCAAATCACCAGCATCCTCCTTCATCCACAGTCAAGCATCTCCTCTTCTTTGAAGCATTTAATAATATGCCTTTCTTCCCTACCTACCCTCCTGGCACAGCTGACCATTCATTCCTCTGTGCCCCTCACACCAAGGACTGACAATCATCACAGTCGCACCAAGGACTGGCAATCATCACCATTTATCTGCATGCCTGTTTCTCTAAATTGTGTGTGTTTTCAGAGCAAGAAGTAGGGCTTATTGATCTCTACATTTTTAGCTTAGGGCTGGCACACAGATGCATGCTATAAGTTTTGAATAAATGA